CCCAGCTGCAACAATCTGCGCACCAAAGCTTTTCTATCCGAAGTAACAGAGAAATCCTGCGTATAGTCCACAGAATAGATACCATATCCGTGTGTATCCAGTAGAGTAGCAAACTTGGGTATCTTTTCCTCTACGGTTTCTATGGACAATTCCGAGGTGTCTACTTTGGCTACGAAAACTGCTGCGGGTTCTCCGTGCAAACTATACCACTTGCCCACCAAGTTGGAAACGCTATCTACTATTTTTCCTTTTCTACAGCTGTGTACTATTTGTGCGTGTAGGAAAGTACCAAATGCTTCCTGGGCTGCTGTGGATATCTTGGAAACCAACGTCTTTGCGTTCCTGCATATTCTTCCATACATGTCGTTTTCTGCAACGAACCCATAGACAAACACATCGTCTACAAACGGTGGTAGCCCGGATAGAGGTTGCAGGCTGGTAGTACCTTCGTTTCCGCGCAAATAGTCGCACTTGGATATGTCGAGTAGTAGATTCCCGTCGTATGCGTTGTCCAGCAGCAAATGCGCCAACACTCTATTCTTCGCACGTATTCCCATCTCTTGCAATGTTACCCTTACTCTTTTGCTCTTTTGCTCTTCCATCTTCTATATATAGGAGTAGAAGGTTTTTGGACTACTACTATGGGGAACGAATCGTTCCTCTCTATCTAAGAGCGGTGTTTCGCAGCCCCTTGCTAGGTAGCGGTGTCCTGCCGCGCCCCTGCTACGAGGGCGCTGTTTCGGGGCCCTTGCTAGGAGAGGCAAATCGCCTACTTCCCTGCGGACATTTCTGGGGCTTGTTCCCAGCGCAGCGGTGGTTCCAAAAATACGATTGTGCAAAAGATGTGTCTACCAGGAAAGCCCGTGTGGGGGTAGAAAAGGTAGCAGAAAATGGTTGCCGAAAAAAGGGGGGGGAAATGCTCTTATAACATTCTTCGCACTCCATATATAGACTAACATATTTAAACTTATCTCAGTGGGATGTGGGTAATGACGGGCTAAATCGAGGGGGGTACTTTAGACGGATAATCCTCCGGTGGTCGTTGTTTTAGAACCCCCATCCCCTATACTACTTTTTGTTGACACAACTGCTCGCAAAGAAACATCCCATGTGGATGACGCAACTGAGGGCCTCGATGACCAAGAAAGTAGTAGAGAAGAAAGCGTGCAACAGGTATGTGTATATTGTCGTATGAAATATATGATTTAATCAGGGGCATAGCGAGGTTGGGATTTTGAAGAGGGGGGGGGGGGCAGGGAGGTACGTGTATGTACCATTTTCCCGCCAAATCCACAGGAATCCCGCATGAATTAATTTAAAAACATTTGGTGCCGAAAGCTAACTTTTTTTTGGCGGAGGGCACGGGACTCCCAAGCCCCCTCCCTACGCCAGTGGATTTAATGCTATTTCAAATTACTTACAGTTGTAMCTTTTTTGCAGGGGAGCGATAAACAGGCTTCTTCATGCGACGAGCTAGCGAAGACTGGAGAAGCTTGAGCTTAAAGATGAAASCTATTTTCTGTCGCCAGCTGAAACCACAAGCACAACATCTTCCGAAAGTACCCCATCTAGAAGATATCATGAGCTTGGCCAAAGATTTAGGCGGAATGCTTTTCTTGAGGAGTGAAAGTTACAACCAATTGAGAGAACTTGGCTTCAGTGGCATCAAAGCAAGTGAGAGAACAAGAAAACGTTATGTTCAACGGTCAGCAGAAATAGTTTCTTCTGTCCTCCATGTCATTTACCCTGGATCTTCCTTCAATTTGTGGGAGGAACTTCAAAAGTCCTCGAACATTTACAATGTTTTAGGAGCGACTTCAACTGGTTCGTCTGCCGCTAATAATAGCTACTTGGAAGCTTTAGCTGAATCCTATAAAAACGCCACCAGTTCGGATACACGCAGACAGGTGTTTTCCATAATGACAGGTGTCGCAAGCTTTCGAAAATTGTTCCAGTATATTCCAGGATTAACACAATACCGCTACACCAGCGCGAATTTACATCGACATCAGTATGGTAGAGCAGCACCGGTACCAAAAAAGGATGCTCAACGGCTGCGCATAGACAAACAACAGTTGGATCATTTTCTTTGTTATGTTACAAGTCCACAGCTGGTGCAGGATCTCCCATTTGGAGAAACAAATTTGAAGTTGTCCTCAGGCCAAATCATTCCCGTATTCAATGTCATCAGAACCATGGTGCCCCAAAGGATCGTTAACCAGTATAAGCTGTATTGTGAAGAAAAGAGCTTTGTACCCCTAAGTGACCGAACTTTGCTTCGGATTCTTAATGAATGCAGCGCCTCTGTACAAAAGTCATTACAAGGACTTGATAATTTTGCCGCAGAAGGTGGTAAAGCATTTGAAGACCTTCTTGATCTTTTAGACATGATTTCGTCCCTTGGTTGCGATGAGGAGAAAATAGAAAAATCGAGAGAAGCTTTGAAAGCAGGAAAATTACACCTTAAAGGGTATTACATGGTATGTGATTACTTTCTGCTATTTGAAAGTTTAAAATCTACCTTTATAAAACATTATTTATTCAAATGTATTGTTATTTTTTTGGTTTAAAAATACACACACTTACACACACTCTTTGTTTAAAAATCGTAGGTACATGTCAGCGAGGAATCCCAGATCGCTGACCATTGCAGCGTATATGCTACAAGCGATCCTTTAGACAAAACCCTGCGAAAACGATGCAAACACAAGCATGACAAGAGTCGTGAGCATTGTGAAGCTCTGGATAGTGTMATCAAGGACATAGAAGGACTAATAAGAGAAGTTTCGTTTCCAAGCAACGACGAGTTAGACGAGGCACTGGACATACACGGTACAGCCAAACGTGCAATACAGTCCTGGAAGTGCCACCAGCAAAGGTCAGTGCGTCAAGACCAGGCACGACATGACATCTTAGACATCATCAACAATACCACCGTACTCATAATTAATGACTGGGCTTTGAAGTTTATCCCCCATATGTATCGAGAATCACAAAGCGATTGGTTCGGGAAAAGGGGGATATCATGGCATATATCCGTGGTCTATCACCCAGAACAAGGTGAGCTACAGTGGCAAGCATTCATCCACCTAATTCAGTCTTGCAGCCAGGACAGCCCTGCTATTGTCGTCATAATGAAGCACGTACGCCAGATCGTAAAGAACGAGTACCCCGAGATCAACAAAGCCTATTTTCGTCAAGATAATGCGGGATGCTACCACTCCACCACTACGGTCTTCTCCTGCCCTACCATCGAAAAAGCTACTGGCATCAAAATACAAGGTATCGATTTCAGCGACCCACAAGGTGGGAAGGGAGCTGCCGACAGGTTGCCTGCGACCGCCAAGTCCCATATTCCCATGTTACAATAACCCAGTAGATGAAAGACGAGCTGTTGTCACATGGTGGAATTGCTGGAGTAAGAGTTGTTGCAGTTGACAGAGTCGACGAGTCCAACCTCGTGGAACACAAAATTCCAAGAATTTTACGAGTTCCGTGACGAAAAGCTTTTCGCGTGGAGAGCGTATGGCATTGGCAGTGGCAAAGTAGTAATGAAACAATTGAGGAAAGGTAATGAAATAGTTTAGATTTACACTTATAGCATAAGGTGTGCGATTTATTTCTCGTTATTTTACAATTTATAGATTACAGTTACCAGTGGCTCGACGCGCAATTCTCCCCAGGAGACTTTAGAACAATGGCTGTGAGAACTGCTAAGACGACCAAGCCTACAACGACTGAAGAAAGCACTTCTGACCCACAACAAGAAGCAGCAAGCAACCTGTATTCGTGTCCAGAGGATGGCTGCGTTAAAGTCTTCCAAAAGTTTGTTATAAGGAATTGCTTCACGGTTTTTATCATTTTACTCGTCAACTTATGGTGCATAATTATCTCTTCATGACGGGTACTCTAATCTTGAGCGTCACCTATCCCTGGAAAAGTGCGAGAAAATGGTTGAAAGGCAGTCTTTGTTAGATTATGTTAAAGTATGCATTACGTTTAGAAGAGGGAGTTGGAGTCATCCCAACGCTAACGGCTACCTTGTCTGATAAGGAGGATGCTAATCACCCCGTACTTGAAGAGGTATGGTCGCTAAAGAAAGCAACCAAATCTTATCGATTTAACGAGAAGCAAAGGTCTTTTCTCCTTTCAAAATTCACAGTCGGTGTGTCTTCTGGACATAAGGTCAGTGCAGAAGCGGTGTCAAAAGAAATGAGGAAATGTGTGGGAACAGACGGAAAGAGGATGTTTAAAGTATCAGAATTCTTGACCGCACAGCAAATTAATTTGCAACAACTTTGACTTGCACCTCACTGATACAAATGACAGCCGAAAGAAAGCCCCCTCCAACACCCCCACCGGTTTTCTTTGTTATTCTTGTTAACCACGGTTGTTTTTCGCTAAATTGTTCATGAATATTAACTCTGCCACAATAATATAGGAATTCGAAGATTGGCTAAACAAATAACATCTACTAATCGGGACGGATAWTAAGGAACTGATTACAAACAGCTAACAAACGGCTAAACAAAGGTCAGTAGCCGTACTGACTAAATTTACAATTAATTTAAAATTTGTTTGAAAATATTAGTAATCGCATTTGGCCTTTATTATTGATAAATGCAGTATGTATCATGTTCATATAATTTTGAGTTTCAATTTCGTAAAGAAAGACAACATTGTTAGGTTGGTTGAAGACAGCAGCGGCATTTATCAAGTAACGGCTGTCACGTATTATTGCCGTTAATATCGATTAAAATCGTTCATTTGTTTCAAATTACAAATATGCAGAGTTAAATACATCGCTGTATTCAGTTTTGTTTCAATATTTCCTCTTTTGAATTGGTTTTGTGCAAAATTATCAYATTAGGCCTTTGTTGTTATTGGATTGCGTTACTGTAGGAATGTAACTTGTAGTCTATTGTTGCAGGTCATCAGTACCTAGATTCTCGAATATTATCATCTTAATATTATAAAACGTATACGTCACTGTAGAGGAATCATTCCTCCTGGAAATACCTGTATCACAGCAAGTAGTTGAGGACATCACTGTATAGGAATCATACCTCCAGGAAACACTAGTGTCTCAACAAGAGATGGAGGATATCACTGTAGATGATTCATTCCTCCATGAAACATCAATGACACAACAAGTAGACAATGGAGAAAAAGATAAATCTGTTACTTCTAGCAGTCCAAATATCACTTGCTCGGTGAGGAAAAGTCACAAATCATCGACTTGTCTAAAGCCTTGTATCTTTAAATATGACAATCAAGACAGATCATCCGGAAACGTCAAGAATAGATCGAAAAAGAAAAAAGGGAAAACGTTATTTAGCAATTCCATCGGTTACGGTCAACGTAATAGAGATGCGCAACCTAACAGTTCAACGAGCAGATTTCAGCCGCTGGACAAGGGAACGCTGAACACGTTTAAAATCTCAAGCAGCTAAAACAAAGTTTCCTCTCAATTTGAAAAACACCCAAAGAAGGATGCTGAGAAAGATATAGGATTAAAAACATGTGCAGATAGGAAGATTGACTACACTACTTCAGCTTGGGCGAAAGCACCGCCTAATACTGAGATAAAAGGAAAGAAACAATCAGCATTCAAACTGGATGATCGTCCATCATGTAAGAATGTAAAATCTAGAAAAATATCTACTGGTCTCTACAGAGAGGACATCGACAACAACAGTACAAAAAATGTACCCGGGAAAAATGAAAACAGGGACGCCTCCCATTCAGGAAATAACAAGCATAAGAAAAAGAAATCGTACAGCAAGGTACTTTTTAGTAATTCCATCGGATACGGTCAAGGCTCAAACACAAATGGCGCAACCACCGACAGTAAGTTACAAGTACCAGATTCATTTCCTCCTATATGTCGTCAACACTCCAAGCCGTCTTCTACTTTGACTTCCAAATTACCGTCTGCGCATTTTTTTCCCAAGTGGGGAGGTAGCATCGGCAGTGTTTTCTTTACAAACACCTGTTCCATTGACTTTAATTTCTTTTGTTTTGTTGTCTTTATTGTTTTTTGTTGTTGTTGTTTTCTTTTTCGTTTGTTTGATTTGTTTGTTTTGGTCGGTCGGTCGATTGGTTGATTGGTTGATTGTTTGGTTTGTTTTTTTTAACCAATAAACAGTTTGGTAATTATTCCATAATGAACAATCCCGATTACCACTCTTTTCACTGCTACGCGATGATCGAGACAACGGTCGTAACAGGGCAATAGAGCAATACACTGCCGCCACGCAGAGAATTTATTTGATTGACGGAAGTGTATTGCCCTTTTTTTCTGGGCGACTGTTGTCTCGATCAGCGCGTAGCAAGGAAAAGAGGGGTAAGTCATACCAAACGAAAAGGCTTTATACTCTAATGATCGTTTCAAGACAAAATAATTTCAAGGGTGATCTCCTAAGTACATTTTCATATTAATATTTTTAGCGCGTTATGTTGTGGTGGTCGCAGAAGAACCCATGCCAGGTCTTTCAAGGATGGGCTGCCTCTCATTATACCCGTAGATGTAGAGCTCATGTCGCAAATAAAGACGGATTTGAACTGGAAAGATCTCCCAGAAACCATCGATGTGCTGAATACCAGGTGAGTGTCTAGTGATGGATGACGTTGAGAAATATAAAAGTGCACTTTTCTGGTACTTTACAGTTACTGAAATACCACTCTAAAAGTACCTATACTTTAATCTACGATAATTTTAACAGCTTAGAGTTTCTATCTTCTCTTGTTTCTTTCAGATATCAGCTCAACGCAGCGACTTTACTAAACGAAACAGCGCGTCATTACACGTGTATATTTAGATATCACAATGAATGGTTTTACTATGACTTAATGGTCAATGGTGGCAACCCAACTGTCTTCACCCAATTCCCTGTGCAATATCGTTTGTCTAGGTGTATATATGTCAGAAAATTATTATTCAATTATTATGCATTTTCGTATCCAATCAAATTTCACTATTTTTTACGAATATTCTGGGGTCATGATTATTGGCCTTTCCATGAATTTTCAAACCAACACTACTAATACTGTATTAATCATGTGAAATAAATCGTTTGACATTCAAAAAATAGCTTTGTTCAGGTATTTTAGTGGTAAGACAAAAAATGAACATCGACTTGAATCATCATATTCAACACATCAAAACAACTATAGAGCTGTTAAGTATGAACTCGGACACGATCCTCTTACTCAATGAATGGGAAAGACGTCGGCACTGCACAAAGAGAGAACTTCAATCTCTCCTAGGCAGTCCATATTAATAATTACTTCTACAGTCATTTTTCCGTGTTTTTTTCTCTATATTGTTAAAGGTAGAGAATAAATCCTGTGAATAAGTTGTGGCAAGATTTTAGCGATGTTTTTGTGGGATTGGATCCGGAAATACGGCACAACTTAAAAGCTCTATTAGATTTTTGTTTTATCTTGTGCATCTTTTAATTTGTGTTTGAAAATTCAGGGAGTCGGCCAAGCCAAAAAATTGCACTCAAAACCATATAATCTTATTTTTTTGGCTATTTTTTCTCTTTAATTTTTTCATGCACATTGTTAAAAGGAATTTATACGGGTTTCTCGTGAACTCGTGAATTTGTCACAAATGAGAAAACATTACGCCCAAGGTAAAGAAGTCTATCCCTGTTCTTTCGTTACTAATGTACTTAATGGAAACAACAACAACAACAACAGTTTACCATTTAACAATTAGACTACGAGGTCGAGTTTTCTATGAGTCAATAGATAGTCGATGAGGCGCGTAGCGCCTCATCGACTATTTGACTCTTAGAAAACGAGAACGAGTAGTCTAATTGTTTTAGCATAAACCTACTAGCTAATATTATAGCATTGAAAACCAAAAAAAGACACTGAAAACTGTTTTCATTCATATTTGCCAACTCGACTCGGATTATTAACGTAAAGCTTAAACCTGCTCTATTTTTTGTCTCTAATATTACTGTCAAACCTCTCTTTCTCTCTGTTTTTTATCTTATCAGTTCTTGGGTTCTTGGGATAAACTGAAATAATTTACTTACAAATACTTTGTTGGCAGATCATTCAAAGCCGTGCCATGTTTACAATTTGCTTTGTTTCGTCTGTACTTACCGTTATGGTGGCTCGACTGGGTTTTGTTTGCGGCGTACCTTCGAAGTTTGAAGGGGAAATGCGTCGCTGCCAATAAGTTAATTTCAAATAAATCATTATGACATGTCTAGAGATAGATTCAAGTTTTACATGATATNTTTCTCTCGTATAAACTCGGCTCCCTGAGCTACACGCTAATTCGTATCTAGCTCCCAGAGCTCATGTGTTTTCTCTCGTATAAACTCGGCTCCCTAAGCCACACGCTAATTGGTATCTAGCTCCCAGAGCTCACATGTTTCTCGTGTATAAACTCGGCTCCCTGAGCCACGCTACTTCGGTTTTGCTCAAGTTCGTTCTAACTGTATAAGCTAACTAGCCCAACCCCGGCTGCAGCGGCAAGARCTGCAAAACTACACGTGAACCCGACGTTCTAAAGGACTGATAGAATGAAATTAAAGACTATACCTCTGCTGGCGGGTTTTGACCATCACATTCGTTGTGCGCGGCGGGAATTTGACCAGGAATTTGATCAGGAATTGGACCAGGAACTTGCACAGGGGCTTGACCAGCTGGGCCGACGGGTGCTAAGGCTGGTGGTAAATCATCTCGGGCGGCCATAACTCTCTCGCAAGCTGGTGACGGTGGCGAAATAATTCCGAACTTGCCCTTCCTTGCGAGGTAATGCGACGAAGCACGTGTTTCGGGTTAATTTATACTGCTCCGCGCTTATTTATTTAGTGAGAATAGCATCTTCTTGCATCACTAAAAGACTTTCAAAATTCGCGGGCTTCCTGTGGAAAATTCAAACTTTGACGAGAGAAAGCCACGAATTTATCCAGATATTTTGACTCCGAAAACAAAAAAAGTATACAGAACGTCGTACTTACATCTAATCTTCAATAATCTAAAGGATTTTTGATAATAAATTCTCCATAAGAAGGGGTTTTTTGGGCTTTTTTAGCGAAAACTTATGTGCCGTCAGTTATGCTTGCATCCGAGCGGGCCTGAACACGAGAAAAGGGATCCAAAACAAGTCCTCTCCCTCCCTCTCCAAGTGTTTGTGGTTCATTACCACATGTTTCCCAACCTCACACCCCGTGAGTCTTGCATTTTACTTCCGGTTTTTTTAACCAATCAAGAAGCGGTCGCCTATTTTTGGCTTCGCGAAACCGGAACCGGCGATTTTCGCTGCCTTTTTGTAAACAAACGACTGGTAAAATTTTGTTCACTTTCGAAAATAAGAATTTCTTCGAGAAAAAGAATATCTTATAGCTATAATTACAATCAGAAAGCAAGATTTTGGTATGTATATGTGGAAATAGTGATATAATTTATCTCTTTTTAAGAAAGTCATGTGAAATCCATTTATACGGAAAAAAAAATCTTTAATAACGTTCAATCAACGGGTTTTTATCAAAATTTGAGTTTGAAATTGGAAAATCGGTCACTGTTCCTGAAATTATGCAAATATTCAATGACGACGCTGTAAACTGCTGCTTCAAGATAACTCCAGAAGTAATCGGTCGCATAGTAGCAGATCTATATGGGAAAAAAGTTAGTGTGAAACGCATTGCAAAAGGAGTTTCAAGTTTTTCAAACTACGTCAACCTAAGCGTGAAAAGATCAAGTACTGTAGCAGGAATATCAAATAAGTTTAGTGTTTGGCAACAGATAGTTGGATGGGTGATAAAAGAAGCAAATTCTACAAACATGGAATTACTAAAGATGACGGAACTCATTGTAAACAAGACGCAATTAATTTTACAAGTATGCCTTGATTGGGAAAATCATTCATTTGTTGTGACAGGAAACGGGTTTTGAGATGACAAGCAAGCAACTTGAAGTTCATCCAGAAATTGTGAAGACCGAAAACTTAGAGCTTATTCTTTCATTTCTGAACTCATTTGGAATATGTAATGGCATTGAATATGACAGAGGCGATGCACCAGTAGACTTGAAAAGATATAAGGCATGCAGCATTACGAGAGGCAAGCAAGACTACCAAGAAAAAGTGTTTAGCAGAAATTGCAAGATTTTTTCATCAAAGGAAMATTTTTGCTGTTGCGAATGCTCAAAACTTGCATCAACCCTATCGAAGAGATCCATATATCACCAAGATAACGAAATCATAAGTAAACACACAAGAAATGATTACCTAACAAGGGAAGAGCTTGAGAAAAAAATCGTACATATCCAAAAAGAAAAGGAGTTACAGAAGAGGTTAAAAGATTGGGAAAGGCAGACAATTGAAGTGACGAAAGAAGATGACAAAGATTACTCTACAATATTTAAAGGCAGAGATGCTGCCAAGCTGTCCAGTGAAATGAGACTGCTTTTTGACCAACAAGCAATGGCTTTGAAAAGCTCATCTTCAAATGGAAATAGGTGGCATCCCAAGTAAGTGCACACATCTGTATTGTGTTTCAATCACCAGACTAATAAATAAAAAAAATCAGGTATTAGAACCCCCCTCCCTCTGCCCCAAATATTGCACCATTATCATGAATAATCTTATGTGATATGTTACAAGATATCATATTACTGCATCTTTTCCTACATAGGATTATCAGGTTGTGCATTGACTTATATTCAACATCTCCAAACGTCTTTCACAAAATCAAAGAACATCTGGTGTTGCCGAGTAAGAGATTGGTGAGGTAAATTATCTTATATTAATTCTTTCCCATTTAAGCAGAAAAGTAATTGTTTCAGCTGAGTAAAACCCTACGTCGATCCTTGCTGATCCCTTAGCAACCAGTTTGTGCTTTGATCCCTACATATTTAAAGCTCAAGAGTGTTAAAACTGAAATATTCAGCCGAATAATTTTCAAATATTCCAAGGTATTGCCGTTATTTGATTACCAATATAWATGAAATATCATGAAAGGAGTAAAAACTATTTTAAATTGTCTTTTTAAAATACTAGGTATTACAAGAATAGTATGCCYAGAACATCAGGCTGGAATCCYAGAGTCATGAAATGGTGCCAAGATGAGGCCAAGAGACTGRACCTGAAAGACGAAARCATGTGGGGTGGYTTAATATTTGATGAGATGACYATCCAGGTAGCCATAATAATATTATGTCAACAAAATGATCGATGACATTATCTTGTTAGATTCATGCAAACACAAATTCTGATTTCTATCTGTCCAAATTGAATTCTCTTGCAGATTTATCATGTWATAAGATAAAAATATAATTTTACATGCTTTTAGTGACTAGGCTCCAGTAGTATTTATAAGGATTTTTCAGTTCCAGCACAGACAAAGCAGTGATATGCTAAAAAAGAAGAAAATTCAAGAATTCGTTTTTACATAGAAAATATGAAAATATTTTATAAATAACACAAAAATATATTTCTAACACTCATTCCCTTTATCGTTTGTATGACAGGAAGACTTACAATTTGTAACTGACAATGGAAAGCAAAAACTAGTAGGAGGAGTATGTTTGGGACGAACTTATGAAGACATGAAGATTCTCTCAGGTATTTCTAGGTCTGATAATTTGAAAATGAGATGTGGGATCAGGTCAGTCTGACAAAGCAAGTGAAACTTTGATGAGAAAGATGTGCTTCCATAAGAATCTTTTTTTTCTTTAAATTAATTTTACTAATGTTGATTAATTTTTTGTCAGAAACAACCTTGTGCAGATTATAACCTTATCACACACTCTTTGACAAAACAGCTGTATCATATTCAAGCCCACTTTTGAGATTATGCTTTATTTGATTGGCACATTGCAAAATAAAACATGATAATAATAATAATAATAATAATAATAATAATACTTATTCATTAGATAAAGGACATACCGAGGATTTGCAGCATACATATGCAAAGAAACAAAATATTCA